CCAAGCCACCTTGCGTATTAACCAAGTCCAGACAGCCCAGGAGAGGCTTGGGCAGGACAGAAAAATGAACTTGTTTTAACACTGGAAGGTGGGATTTGTGAGTTACACTGCTATCAATTCCTGGTCCCAGGCAAGGTGGGAACAGCGAGAGAAAAGTCAGGGCAGAGTTCAGAGTGGCCCCACCTGGTCACTGTGGCCCAGCACCCCTCTTCCTTAGGGAGAGTCTGGGCAGATGCTGGTGTGCCGAAGGGAAAGGAGAGGGAGTGCTTGGGAGGATGTGTGAGAGGGGCCTTGGCTTGCCCTGAAGATGTGCTGAACCATGTTCCAGCCTGTACTGCCTCAGCGTGTTAGAGCTGGCCTGGGTCCCCTCCACCCAGGTGGAAGCCTCTCTCTTTTGGCTCAACTTCCCCAGCTGTGAGCTCTTGAGGGATCATCCTGCATGTTAGTGTTTCTTTTTGTTGTTTTGTTTTTATTATTTTGAGACAAGGTCTCACTCTATAGCCCAGGTTTGCCTAGAACTCACTATGTACCCCAGTCTGGCCAGGAACTCACCGTGTAGCCCAAGCTGGCCTCAAACTCCTGGCAGTCCTCTTCCCTCAGTCTCTAAAGTACCTGCATGACAGGTGTGAGTCAGTTCAGGTTTATTGCATCTCTTAAGGACTCATCTATGGCATTACCTGAGGAGGACACTTTTCAAAAGACAGGGACAGAAATGAGGATTGAGTGACCTCAGGGGCACACAGCCCGGACAGCAGCCATTGACACAGGGACAACAGCCCTGCCCAGAGGACACTGGGAATGATCACCAGGCCGCAGATGGAGAGGGCTCAGAGTTCACAAAGAGCATCTGGAAGCCACAAAAGGTTGCTGGTGGCCTCCAAGGCAACCTGTGACCTGGGGGAGGGGCAGACAGAGTATCCTCAGTCCCCAGCAAAGAGAGGACTTTGGGAGCCAGAGGGCTGAGGGCAGAGGGACATCCTGTACAGGCAGCCCCCTACATGCAGTAGATGTTACTGGGCAGGCGGTGCTGTGTGTCCTCTTTACAGACAGATGAGCGGAGGGGTTCAGGTGCACCCCGTGAGGCCTTCCTCAGGTGATGCACCAGGAGGACTGATGTGTCCTTGCTGTCATGTTTCTAAAACTTCTGTCTGTAGGGGTTAGGAAGATGGCTCAATGGGTAAGAGTACTTGCTGAGCCAAGCATAGGGACCCGAGTTCAAATCCCCAGCATCCACATAAAAGCCAGGCATAGGTATATGTGCCTGTGATCCCAGCAGTGGAGGGCAGAGACAAGTGGATTCTGATGGCTCAACTGCCAACTGGTCTGGCCTAAACTGCAAACTTCAGGTTCAGTGAGAGACCCTATCGCAAGGGAATAGGCAGGCAGACAGAGAAAGATACCTGATGCCCTCCTCTGGCCTATGCATGGGTGTGCATACCCAACACACATGCATTAATACACACACACACACACACACACACACACACACACACGCTCGCACACCAGCACTACCATAAACAAAAATAAAAAAAATAAAAATTTGTCCAGCACTGTGGGCTGTGGCTCAGTGACAGAACTCTTGCTTAGAATGGCTGAGGTCTGAGTTTGATGCTCAGCACCCCAGGGGGAAAATTAAGTTTTCTGTAGCCTGGTCTCTGTGGTGAGCTTTAGCAAACATTTGTAAGCTGTGATTTGTTTATGATTCAGGTTCTTTTTTATTTTTAAGTATTTTATTAATTTATTTTATGTGTATGAGTGTATTGCCTGCATGTGTGTAAGTGCACCCGTGCTGTGTAATGCCTGAGGAGGTCAGTGTAATGTCCGAGGAGGTCAGAAGAGGCCGTCGGATCCCCTGGAACTGGAGTTACAGATGGTTGTTAGCTGACATCTGGGTGTTGGGAACTGAACTTGGGACCTCTGGAAGAGCAGCCAGTGCTTTTAATCATTGAGTCATCTCTCCAGCCTTCTAAAAACTTCTTTTATGTTTGTTTGTTTTGAGACAAGATCTCCCTGCAGCCCCGGCTGGACTGTAACTCACTATGTAGACTAGGTTAGCTTCCATCTCCCAGAGAGCTGCCTGCCTCTGCCTCCCGAGTGCTGGGATTAAAGCTGCGTTCCACTATGCCCCTCTGATTTTTATTACAGCCTCAAACACTGCTTTAGCCCCATCTTGTGCATCCAGACCCACATGCTGGAGCCTCCCTAGGGACAAGTGTGGAAGGGGAAGTGCTGGCTTGGAGGCAGCAATACTGGCAGCTTTGTGAGCGACTGCTGAGTGGCCCTCCAGCGTGTTCTGCTGGGGAGGAGCCTGAGCAGCAGGGGGCGGGAGGCTCCTGCCCTGGGCAGTCAGAGGACATCTGGATTCTGGAAGACCCCAGGTAGTGATCGGAGTGGCATTCAGAAGAGGCTTGCCCTAGCTGCTGTGTGCCCCTGAGCAGGGCACAGCTTCTCTCTGGCCTCAATCCCTCTGTTCTCCTGGTGTGGACTTGGGTCTCACCCTTCACTCCCAGGTAGCTGTAGAGGAGGCCTGCAGGAGAGGGTCTCTGTCTGAGCGAGGTTCTGGGCACTCAGTGGACTGCAGCCCCACTTTCTGGCCATGTGATCTTTGTTAGGGTGTTTGTCAGCTCTGAGCCTCAGTTTCCATGTTTATTAGGTTGAAATATTAGCACCTGCCCTGAGGTATCGAGTGAGGACTCATGGACAGGACCAGCCAGGACCAGGCAGGGGGTGGGTACTCAGTGCTGGGCTTCAGGGGCCACTCCAGTCTTCTCTGGCTATGACAGGGAACCAGGAAAGAAGAAAGGCAGAGGCTGTGCCATTGCCAGGAGCCAAGACCCCCAGGAGAGTCCCCATGAGCCAGCCCTCTGTCCCCACTCCCTTACAGCCATGTTGACTGTGGGCAGTGAAGCCATGGCACTGTGGGCACTTGCTTTCTCAAGATGCAGTGACACAGTGGACTTTTACTCCAGGCCATGCCCAGGTGTGCCTACACTCCTGTTCCCTAGCCCCTCCCCGCCAACTCCACAGCCAACCCCTTCCCCACATAATGGACTGCAGGTGGCCCAGCTGTCAGGTGGTCTGAGTTTAAATTTTGGCTCTGCACCTGACTAGCTTTGTGACCTGGGGCAGCCACTTGACCTCTGTGAGAGGTGCTGATGGTGACCTCAGATGGTGACATTTACTCTATGTGGGGTGCTCCATAAATATCACACCCTCCTCAGACCATAGGGTTCACATTTCCTCTCACTGAGCCATTGTCACCTAAATGTCTCACCAGCATGTGGCAAGCATCTGTGCCCTGTGGGACAGCACACAGGAGTGTGACAACCTAGCACTTGCGTCCCTGGATGAACTCCTCTCCCTCTTCTCACTTCCTCTTGGAGCCAGGTGCCTGTCCCCTCTGCCCAAGCTCTTCCTCTTGTCCATCTGCCTCCCCAGATGGGAGAAAGACATATTGCCACTGGCCCACTTTCTCACTGGAGTGGAGCCATATGGAGGGGTTGGCTGGGAGCTGAGCACCACCACGGCGAGTATATGGCCAGCCAGCGAGGGCAGCAGCCAGTTCCCAGGCTCCTTCTATGGCCCAGAGCTGGGAGAGGTGACCGGAGACCCCGGCCCAGCTCCCCTGGCCATGAGCTCTTGGAGGCCTTTCTCTGTTTGGTATTTGGAACTTCCTATGTATCTTAGGGGAAACCCCATGATCTGCATGTGTGTGTGCATACACATGTGTGTCTTGGCCCAAAGTGGCCACCCTTTGCCACTGTGGGTGCCCTCTGGCTGACCACCTCCTGCCCTCTCACACTCCATGTCCCCTTAAGGTGCAACCTCCTGGAGCTGTCATCTCCCTACCCTCAGTGTGGTTGCCGTCCCTGGCACTATCAGCCTTTCACAGCCCAGGCTCCTCCATGGAAGTGCCTGTGGGTATTAGTTCTGTGCAGAGGGACCAGGTGGAAGCCCAGGGGAGCTGGGGGTAGCAGCTGGGATCTAGCGGTGATTCTTGGGACAGGGCTGGGTCCAGGGAGAGCCCTGCAGGAGGACAGAGGTTCCAAGGGGCTGGCTTCCTGGAGGTTTACCCCACGTGCTTTTCCATTGATGGAGCCCCACCCTCACCAGGGGCCTGTTGGGTCTTATTGTCTGGGGCCCCCAGTCACTCAGCAGGGCCAGGCAGGGCCAGCTTCCTCATCTGCCCCAGGCAGTGGGTAATGGATGCCACGTTCTCCACAGCTGCTCTCCATAGCAGAGCGGGTAGCCTACAAATACATGAAAGTTACCAACTACCTTGTGCAGGCGCTGCCCTGATTGTCATGGTTGCAGCTGTGGCTGGGAACCGGCAGAGTTCAACCTGCTCTCTGGGTGTCTGCTGTCCACAAAGCTGGGGTGCATCTCAGGACACTGTTTCTTCTGCCCAGGCCTCTCAGGCAGCCACACCTGCAACCCTCCCTCAAGGCCTTGGTAGGCAGGGCCTCGGGGACTGGAGCCTGGGGAGCTGTGTGGACATGTGGGTAAGGACTCCAGTGGCCGGGGTGGCCATTCTCAGATGTAATCCTCCAAAGAAACTTTTGAGGTGATGCCAGTAAAATAGCTAGTGCCTCAAGGCACCACTGTGCACTAGACAACGGCTTTTTTCACGCCGATGCACTGATTCCATAACAATCCAGTGAACTAGATCACCTGATTATCTCAACTTTATAAGTGATATGTTTGAAGCACAGGGAGGTTCAGAGATAGTCCTAAGGTTACCCAGAAGTAACTAGTAGAGTCAAGATTTCAACTCAGGTAGTCTGACTCTTGCTAACCTCTCACTTCCATCTAGGGAAACTGAGGCATGATAGGCTGGTAAGCGGAGCCAATGTGACTAGTGTGACTGTGACCAGGACATGGGAGACTGGGGGTCAAGCTGGGGATCCTGGTCACAATCTACTCAGACATGTTGGAAGGGCCAGTGGGAAGCTCAGACCACACTGGCCACCCAGGCTGACGGACAGGGTGTCTTTTTGCAGGAGGCGTGTGCATTGCCCAATCAGTGAAGATTCCTCGGGAGCCCAAGACTGGCGAGTTTGACAAGATCATCAAACGCCTATTAGAGACATCCAATGCCAGGGCTATCATCATCTTTGCCAACGAGGATGACATCAGGTAGGGTGGTGGCAACAGACGGTAGCCCAGGTAGGCCTTCTTTGGCAAGTTATCCAGAGAGGTGGGGAGGGGAAGGGGTCAGTAAGCCAGAGTGAGGTGACCACCCCAGGCTGGAGCCAGGCTACTTTAATGGCTCTCTTTCCCTCCTCTGTCTCCTACATCTATTCCACCAGCCGGCAGTGGCAAGCAGGACATTTTAGGGGAGGGGCTAGCTTGTGGACTTGGAGCCATACCCAAGTTTCTTCTTCAACTTGCCTACATGTATGTAAGTGTACCCTGTGTGTACAGAGTCCAGGAGAGGGTGTTGGATCCTCTGGAGATGGAGTTATGGATGGTTGTTGGCTGCCATGTGGGTGCTGGGAACCAAACCTGGGTCCTCTGCAAGAGCAGCCAGTGCTCCTAACTGCTGAGCCACCCCTCCAGCCCTACAGCCAAGTTTCTTAGCCTCTCTGGGCCTCTTTGCTGCTCAAAACAAAACAACAAAACAAAATAAAACAATGCCTGCCTAGCGGTGTTAAAGCACTGAATACAGGAAGGGGCTTAGGGTCCTTAGAGCAGGACCTGGCATGACATGGGTACCCAGTAACTCCTGGCCACCACTCAGTCCCTCCCTTTGTTCATTGGTAAGCTCAGGGCATAGGGTTTGGGCATGTTCCCACTGTGGCAGGCTGGTTCCTCCCTGTGTCTCAGACTGGTGGCTCTGTATGCACAGACCATGGGGACCCTGCCAGCATCTCTGTGTCCCTCAACTCCTGTTAGGGGTCATGGGTCGTAAGCTCACGAGCTCTTTATGGGCCTGGTTCGCCATTTTACCCCCCTGCCAAGGCCAGCGCTGGCCCTACTTCCCTTTCTTTTAACCCTTTCTCTGATCCCACCATGGAGTCATGAGTTACAGTAACATAGATAAATCCCAGGAATACTGTGGAGTTCCTGTAAGGTCAGAGGAGGAAGGACCCACTCTAACAGGGTGTCCCCTCCAGGCTATACAGAGGCAGTCAAGCCCCTTAAGGCACATAGGTTCCTTAGATGCAGACCCTCCCCCGAGGTGCTCATGGGGTACTGACATTGGTGGCTATAGGCCTCTCTGAGCCACACCCAGCTCCTGCCTCACACCCCTAGATCGAGCTCCACACCCAGCTATGCATCCCACTTTGGGCCCGTTCTTCTGTGGGGTACCTTAGTTCAGATGGACCTCTTGTTAGATGGAAGGATGAAGGTCCAAGTCCCCCATCTCTGGTGGGAGGCAGGACCTCAGCCCCGTGGGAGGCAGGCAATTTCTGGAAATCCGCTTGTGTTTTCAGAAGCCAAGTGAGATAAAAATAAACACAGGTGACTGGCTGGGTGTGGGGATGGGAGTTCTGATCTTCCCTGTCTCATGGATGCAGGCAGCATTACTAGAACTGAGGCAGGGCTGGAGCCAAGGCTCAGTGGTTAAGAGCACTGACTGCTCTTGCAGAGGACCTGGGTTCGAATCCCAGCACCCACATGGTGGCTAACAACTGTCTGTAACTCCTGCTCCAGGGGATCTGACGCCATCTTCTGACCTCTGTGGGCGATACATGACATGGGTGCACTTACATACATGCAGGCAATACATACATATACACAAATTAAAAACAAAAATAATAAATTTAAAAAACAGAGCTGTGGGGCTGGAGAAATGGCTCAGTGGTTAAGAGCACTCACTGCTTTTGCAGAGGACCTGGGTTTGTTTCCCAGCACCCACATGGTGGCTACGAACTTCCTTAACTCCAGTTCCAGGGGAATCCAAAGCCCTCTTCTGACTTCTGCGACATTGCACGACACGGGTGTGCTCACATACATGCAGGCAATACACTCATACACATAAAATAAAAGTAATAAATAAAATATAAAAACAAAAAACCAACCCCCCCAAAAAAAACCCCAGAGCTATGGCTGTGGTTCCCTCTGCTGCCCCATCTGTCATTAGGGGTGGCCTGAGGTAGGTGGTGACCCACCAAGGGGTTGGGGCCAGGGTGATGTGGACAGGCTTAGAGGTAGGCTGTGGCCTAGAGATCATACTTTCTAGAGAAGTCCAGTTACTGCCCCAAGGCTGCTGCTTGCTCAGGCCTGGCACTGCTGCGGGCCCTGAACCTGCACCCTGGTCCTCACCAGGAAGGGCAAGGGCTGTTTCTGGAGTTCCTGGAGTCTGTCTCCAACATGCAAATTACTGACTCCTCTTGGCTCCAGGACCTCTCTAAGGGGAATTGGGTAAAGAGAGTACTTCCTCTTCCCCTCTTCTCCCCTAATAAGACCTGGACTTGAGGGTCACCCAGCTCAAGGCCCGTGGAGTGCCCTGTGGGCTCCTCAGCCCTACGATGGCCTCAGCCTTTTTGCTTTGATCAAGGCCCCTACCTGGAGGTGAGGCAAGCTTTGGGGATCCTGCTCTGCTCTGGAGCAGCTGAGGGAGGGCCTGACTTCTGGCTCAGTAGTGGGTGGATGGGTAGGTTCTGTGTGTATGTATTTGAGGATGGCTTTGGTATGGATGGTGTAGTGTCAGGAGAGTATGCCTCTAAGAAGACAGAAGCTGGGCAGGTGTCATTTGGGACCCAAGTCAGGCAGGCATGGATGTGGGGAGACATGAGAGAAGTCTTTACAGGGACAGATGTGGGCCTAGGAGGACGGGCCTAGGAGAGAGTGGTAGCTGTGGACTTGTGGGCAGATATAGGTTAGAGTGGAGAAGCCATAGCCTCGGGGACCTGGCGTGGAGGCAGCTGTGGGCCATGGGTCGGGGATGAGGGACTCAGGAATAGCCTGGGGATGGGCTGTGATAGGGCCGTGTGTGTGTGTGTGTGTGTGTGTGTGTGTGTGTGTGTGTGTGTGTGTGTGTAGTTGGGGCAGCCATGGGTCCTGGGCTGAAGGAGTTTGATGGAGGGTCCAGGTACAGCCCGGGGCACATGCATGAGGTATGGGAACGGCTGAGTGGTCATACATGCCAGGGCTGGGCTTCTATGTCCCCACAGGCGGGTGCTGGAGGCCGCACGCAGGGCCAACCAGACAGGCCACTTCTTCTGGATGGGTTCTGACAGCTGGGGCTCCAAGAGCGCCCCTGTCCTGCGCCTGGAGGAGGTGGCTGAGGGCGCTGTTACGATACTCCCCAAGAGGATGTCTGTGCGAGGTAGGCCTGGCAGGTGGAGATGGGGGGACTCCATGCCCTCCACTGTTACATCATCCCATACCACTGGTACTGTCCTTCTTCCCCTTCTGTCTTCTCTCCCTGTCTGCCCCCATCTGGTCTTGCCTTTCCCTGGTCCACAGCCTCTTGCATGCAGAGGTCTCTGGTGTCAGTAGGACTTTGCTTCTCTGATGATTTGAGTTATAGGAGGTGCGTGGCACATTGTCACGAAAAGAGTCTTACCAGTCCAACCCCAGTCTCTCCCATCTGGGACCATCTCTACTTGGAGAGGCCTTTGCCAGAGAGGGGGTGAGAGGCAGGGCAGGTAAGCCCTGAAGGGACAGTGTGTTTGGGTATGGCAGGCTCAGGACCAATGGCTAGGGTTCAGTTGTCCTGCCCTGCCCTGCCTCCCTTCCTCCCTGCCCTGCCTCCCCTTCCTCCCTGCCCTGCCTCCCTTCCTCCCTGCCCTGCATCCTTTCCTCCCTGCCCTGCATCCCTTCCTGCCCTGCATCCCTCCCTGTCCTGCATCCCTTCCTCCCTGCCCTGCCTCCCTTCCTCCCTGCCCTGCCTCCCTTCCTCCCTGCCCTGCATCCTTTCCTCCCTGCCCTGCCTCCCTTCCTCCCTGCCCTGCAACCTTTCCTCTGTCCTACATCCCTTCCTTTGGGGTAAAGGCCACAATCGCCTTGGGGCAGGAGCAAATCACTCTGGCCAGAGTCTTGCAGGGTGTGAGGTATGATGTCAGTGTCGTGGTAATGGCCCGACTTGGCAGGGACCCGCAGTCTCATCAGAGGGAAGTGGCTTCCAGGGCCTTCTTTTTTCCCCGCCCTCTGTTTGGTGTATGTTGAGTTGACGGGGCTGGAAAGAACCGCAGGTGTCAGCCCCTCCATCACACTTTTCATCACTTGCCCAAGGTCACACTGAGTATCCTTTCTTCACCCCGAGGCCCAGCCAGCACAAGCAGTGGAAGTTTCCATACCCGCTCAGCCTAATGAGCACAGAATAACTGTCACCACTGGCTGCCTCTAGAGCAGATGCTGGCCCCTCCCAGGGGCCTCATTTAAACTTCCAGAAGCTTGGCCCTTGAGTCACCCGTCCTGCAGCCAGGACAGAGGCAGGATTTGAACCCAGGACTTAAGTACCCTTTCTCTTTGTGACACTGAGGACACTGGTTCTTGTCTGAAGAAACGTTTAGTTGTCACAGTTAGGGGGTGATGCTTCTAGAGTCTAGTGGGTGGAGACCAGGGATGCTCCTCAACACCCTAGAGGCACCCCCAAGAAAGAAGTACCCAGCTGGAAACATCAGTGCTGAGGCTGAGAATCCCCGCATTAGGATGGACTTCATCCCCACCCCTCCGTGTCACCTTGTCCTTGCAGCTTGAACAGTCCCCTGGCTTCCACTTGAACCCTTCCCCGGACTGGGAGAGCCACAGAAGAGCTCTGGGAAGAGGGAGAGGGATTGCCCTGTTAGTGCGGGCCTGGGGCAAGGGTGCCTGGGTGGGAAGAGAGCCTGACAGTTGCTGAGGGTTGTGGAGCAAGTGTCTCGACTTGACCAGTAAGATCTAGGTTGTACAGTGTGCTAGAGGTGACCCCTGCCTTCTCTGGCCACATCTCCTTTTCCACTGTGCCCAGGCTGGACCTGAGCCACTGAGGGTGTCTCAGCCATAAAGGCAGTGGCCCTGGGTTATACTTCTTTCTGCCTTGGGACTTAACCCAGCTCTTTTCATTTTGCATGGCGTGGGAATGCTCCTCATTTTGTTTTTGCTGGGCCCAGGATCAAAGGATGTTCCTTCCCTCCCTGGCTTGGGTCATCTCCAAGTCTGGGTGCGTGTGGGAAGAGCAGGGCACGAGGCCCTGACGTCCTAGCTCCCTGCCAGGTTTCGACCGCTACTTCTCCAGCCGGACGCTGGACAACAACCGGCGCAACATCTGGTTTGCTGAGTTCTGGGAGGACAACTTCCACTGCAAGCTGAGCCGGCACGCACTCAAGAAGGGAAGCCACATCAAGAAGTGCACCAGTGAGCATGCGCCCGGGTGTTGGCCTGTGTGTGTGTGTGTGTGTGTGAGTGTGTGTGTGTGAGAGTGTGAGTGTGCGCGCGTGTGTGTGTGAGTGTGAGTGTGTGAGAGTGTGAGAGTGTGCGCGCGTGTGTGTGTGTGAGTGTGAGTGTGTGTGTGTGTGTGTGTGAGAGAGAGAGAGAGAGAGAGAGACACGCCTATGAGGCGTGGCCAGTGGGAGGCTTGGCCAGTGGGGGCGGGGCCTGTGGGGCAAGGGGTCCGGCATGGGAGTGGGGCCCAAGAGGGAGGTGGGGCTAGGTGCTAGTGCCAAGCCTGGTTTCCACCCGTTTCTCCAGCCAAACGTGGTAGAGCCAAGAGCCTTGCCAGAGAGGCCTGCCAGCTAGTACTCAGAGACAGCAGTCCCCCTTGCACCTGGGGGTATACAAATGGGCTGGGCCTGAGACCGGAGTTGGTAGGGCTGAAGGGGCGGGGCTACAGTCAGTTTGGGGTGCAGCCCAGAGCAGCCCCTGAGAGCTGAGAGTGGGAGGGTCGCACAACCCACTGTGCCCCCTCGGAGATCGACCAGGAGAGCTGATGGGGGAAGGGATTCCAGGGTCTCACCAGAGGAGCCATCAGCCTCTTGACTGCCTTGGGGTTCACCACGATGGCCTGATCCTGAATGGCCTCTGTCCATTCCTGAGCAGCACAGCATACCTCTAACCCCTCAGGGGTACTCCCCCCCAGTCACTCAGCAAGCACCAAGCTGGCTCAAAGGACCTCCTGACCCTGTTTTTCTGGAGGATCTCCTCTAGAACAAAGAGTCGGAATCCTCCTAGAGTTTTCTTTCTAATGGAGAGACAGATGATAAACAAGATAAATAAATCATGGGATGTGTCAGAGGAAGATATGCAGTACAAATATAATCAATGGGGGAAGGCAGCAGCCCTTTCCAGTGGCCAGGAAGCCGATCCCCAAAAGAAGTCATGTGGGGCATCCGAAAGAGGATCTGTTCCCACTAGTGCCAGGAGCTAAATCAGGATTTGAACCCAGGCCTGAGCTCCAGCCCCCACCCCATGCCAGGGTAGCAGTGCCCTGAACTCCTGCCAAGGTCCTGAGTATTCTGGATCTGCACAGCTCAGGACCCCTCAGTGATAGTGGGGGTTCCTGGCACCTCAGCATGTGGCACTGTACTAAGGAAGAGCTCTGTCTGAGCAGCTTGGCCAGTTTGGGTAGAGGGATGAGGGTGGGAGCGTGCTGTAAAGAATCTTTGAAAGATGGAGGTCCCCCAAGGTGGAATAGAAGGGGGTTGGTGAGGCAAGGGGGTAGGAGGTCGGGTGAGGAGTTTGCAGGCCTCTGGTGGCTACGGCAGCCACTGGGCGGTGGGTTTCTCTTGGGGATTCAGCCAAGACCGCAGTGTCTAAACTGCAGAGTGAATATGGGTGTGAGAGCGAGCTGAGGGGCAGTGGGCTGAGGGCCAGTGTGTGAGACTTTGTGTGTGCATGAGTGGTCAGTCTGAGCCAGGGCGTGTGCGGGGGTCTTATGAGGAGGCTCATGTGTCCTGCGTGAGCTATTTCTCACGTTTCGACATTCCAGGCTCCTCTCTCTCACAAGTCTAGAAATCCTCACAATGTGGAGATTCAGAGAGGCCTAGCCAGGTGTCTAAGGCTGCACAGCACATACCGTATGAAGCAGTAGCCACAAAAACAGTCTAAGAAGTACAGATATGCAGGGCGGGGGAGATGGCTCAGTGGGTAAAGCACTTGTCCTGTAAGTGCAAGGACCTGAATTCTGATCCCCAGCACCCACAGAAAAAGTGAAGCATGGTGGCTTGTATTCCAGAGATGGAGAGACAGGAGGCCGTGACAGGTGGATCCCTGGAGCTTACTGGCCAGCTAGCCTAAACTCCTTGGCTAAGTTCCAGGCCAATAGGAGACCCTGTTTCCAACAAAGGTGGAAAGTACCCGAGGACCAACATTCAGGGCTGTCCTCTGATTTCTGTGTGCACACGTGCATGTGTGTACCTGTGCACACACACTTCTCCACAAACACACACACATGGCTACACACACATGCATACACACAAGGAAATACAGATATACCTAGCAGTAGAGGCTGAGCCTTTGTTGGCAGGATGGCCATGGGTCTTGTTTACTTCTGTCCCCTACTGTCCCTGCAGGGGTGAAACATGGTTCGGGCACCCTGGTGGTGGGTTACCAAAGCTGTCAGGGCTGGGGTTGGGTGGAGGCTGGATGTGGGGGATGGACAGCCAGGACCTCCTACTCCAGTCTCTCGCTAATGAGTGTCAGGGCTTTCTGGAGTCACTTTCTGTCTTGTGGGGGTTGGGAGAGAAGTTCTGTTTGTCTCTACAGACTCTGGCCTCAGGTTGGATGGACAGTTCTGTGGAGCCACAGGGAGGCAGCCCTGCTTCCTGGCTGCCTGTCAGAGAAGGCAGATGAAGGTCTTCTGAGAGCATGTTTTGTGGGGTGCCAAGGACCAGCTCTGTGATCCCCCACCCCATCTTCTGCTTATTCATCTGAAAAACTGGGCTGATGTGATCCAGGCCCAGGGCGGGGGTGGGGGTGGGGGGAGGAGTGCAGAAGGAAGTGAGGGCACTAATGGAGGTGCATTCTGAGCTGGAAACGGAAGCTGTGCAGCCTGGCTGTACATTAGAGCTACCTGGGGAGCCCCGGGTCCCCACTGACTGAATCAGAGCCTCTGGGTGGGGCCGGCTGTGGACTTTTCAAAGCTCCCTAGCTGACTTTAATTCAGACTTGAGGCTCGGGCAGTGGCTCTGAAGCTTGGTCCACAGGGAGTTAACTGTGGATCTCTCTCTTTAAATTTTATTTATTATTTTTATTTTACGTGTATGCATGTATTGCCTGAATGTAGGTAAGTGCACCTGTGTCATGCAATGCCTATGGAGGTCAGAAGAGGCTGTTGGATCCCTGGGACTGGAGTTACTGACAGTTGTTAGCTGCCATGTGGGTGCTGGGATTCGAACCCGGGTCTTCTGCAAGAACAACCAGTGTTCTTAACCACTGAGCCATCGCTCCAGCCCCAACTGTGGATTTCTTAAAAATACTCATACCTGATCCCACCCCAGGACAGTGCAGCTAAAGTTACACTACAGGCATCTGAACACAGGTTTTTAAATTGATGTACAGGGTCTCTTGTAGCTCAGGTTGGCCTCAAAGTCCTGGGATTAGAGGTGTGAGCTACCATGACTTGGTGTTTTTTGGTTTTTCTTTTGAGACTCACTGTGTAGGCCAGGCTGGCCTTGAATTCATAAAGATCTACCTGCCGCTGCCTCCTGAGTGCTGGAATTAAAATGTGCCCCACCTCACCTGGCATACCAGGCTCTGTCTAAAGTTCCTGGTGGGTTGTCCTCTGTGGCTGTCTTGGACCCTGTGGCTCAGAGAGAGAAAGGAAGGTGGAGGGAGGAGAGTGGACAATGGCAGACAGTCCAGGCAGGACAGGAGGTGTGAAGGGACGGTACCTCACTGGAGACCCTGCCCGTCCCCATGGGTTGCTGTGAGGACATGAACACACAACTGTTTGGAAGATAGCACTAGCATAGTGGGTGCTAATAGAGCAGTGGGCACTGTGGCTGTGGAAGGAGGTGAGGCACTTGGGATCTAGACAGGTAATGGTTCATTTGATAGCCCGAGTCCCTCAGTAGCCCATCTGTTGGTCTGCTGCCCTAGGCACAGAAGGGACTGTGCCATCCTGAGGGCTGGTGGAATGTCACAGGCTAACGCCCACTTTACAGAAGAGGAAACTGAGGCCACTGTGGAGCACTTTGGTGCTAGAACTGGCAGGGTGCATTTGTCCCCAGACTCTGGAGCAGATGCCCCCATCTTTTCTTTCTGTCCTCTTTGTGTCCCCACCTCCCCTCTTCATTGGAGCCCAGCTCCAGTCCCCTCCTCTACCCCAATCCCCTTTGCTTACCCTCATCCTCCATTCATCTTGTCCCGTGGTCCCCCCTGCCCTGCCCAAGGTCTCCCAGTGAGCAAGGGCCACGCCTGTGGGCTTCTCTTGATTCACCCAGTTAAGACCTTCCCACCCCTGCCAACATGGGCCATGGGTGGGTGGCCTACCAAGAGGATAGGAAGGACCACTGTATCTCTGGGCTTACTCTGGGGGTGAGTCTGAAGTTGGCCTCCCCTGAGGTGGGTTTGTTTGGAAATAGTGGGACTCAGTTCTCAGGAGCTTTAAGGACAGAGAACGGCAAGCCTTTGTTCCCAGGAGTATGAGGAGCTGGGGTCTGATGGTGTGGTGGGGCTGCTGTAAGGCTCCAAGCCCTCAGTGTCTCTTTCTCCTGAGGCGGTGCACAGGGCTGGTGGGGCCGGGACGAGATGAAGGCGGAGGAGGCCCCCAGTGGAAGCCGCCTTCTCCCAGACACCGCTACGGGAGCTTGCAGATCTGGATGTACACGCATTCTGCTGCTGCTTGCCCATGTGACCTTGAGCAGGTGCCCCAGTTCCTCATTTGTAATGGGAATCCTGTCACCCCGCTCAGCCCCTGGAGCCCCATCCTACAGTGGCCCTCCCTCGAAACTTCCATGGGAGCTGATGTGCAAGCCAGACTTGTAGATGGCCCACTGGCTGCCCACTCCGAGACGGGTCACTGAGAGGGACGTCCTGCGGTTGTCAGGCCTGGAAGGGCCGCACCTACCACTCGCCTCCTCCATGCCCAGCCCCTCCCTGGGAGTGTGTTGAGCAGGGATTGGGAATTAAAGTCATAAACAAGGCAGATGTGGCATCTGTCTTTTTGACAGCACTGCCAGCCAGGTGATGGCTGAGCAGAGGAAGGCTCGGTTTATGAGGAGATAGGAAAAATTTACTGTTGGCTGCTCCCAGGGCCTGGGATCCTGGAGAGGGAGGGCAGGATGGGACGGCTGGGGATGTGTGAGGAGATGCCAATCATTCGCTCTGCTAACCGCAGTCACAACAATAAAACAGAGTGATCCTAACAGCTAATATTTAAACAGCATTCATCAATCATCAAGCTCCGTCTTGGGTTT